TTGTTGTATGAAAATATACTAACTATATAATATTCGTAAGTTAGCATTTTGTAAAAATATTGGTACGAGGAATCATCGAAAAGAGTGTGTTTTTGAAAAAATTTTAGATATTCTTAATTATAAAAAATTTAACTTATCTAATTAGAATTAAAATTTCTATGATAAAACAATATTAAAAATTCATATAACATTACTTTTTAATAGAAAATAAACAATTAATAAAAACTAATTTCTATTATGCTGTCATATTCTCTAGAATTTTTTTTTTAGAAATAGACAAAGTTTTCTATAAGTTGAGTATACAGGTCTAGGTATTATTCAAATTTGTTGATAGTAGAATTTGAATCTCAGACCTATTATATAGCAGTTTGATAACCTGACTATCATACTAGATTATTAGACCTTTCAAAACATATTATTTTTTTTTTTTATTATTAAGGTGGCTTCCTTTGCCGAATAGATTTTATTAATTTGTTATTACGGAACTATCACATGGATAATTTCCTAAGGTTTTACAGTTACATGATGAGTGTACAACAAGCCACATGTATAACTTTAGTCATTGTCTAATTTAAGTAGTCTGCCATACAGACAATCGACCATCTGTTAGTTCTACACTATGCTGCCATACCTGCAAACCGTCTGTGAGTTACCTATTTAAACACTCTGATCATTAACCTTTTCCTCCATTCCAAACTAATGTCACCACTATGGCTAACTGCTTAAGCCAGCTGGCTCACTCGTAGATCTATTTACCGCATAGCTTAGGTCCTCTCGGGATGCGTATGCCTAACGTATTGTGAGCCGCAGAGCTCCAGTTAACCTCAGAAGCATATCTACTAGAGTGGTCTATGCCTATTTCATGGATTCACCTAGCTTAGACCTTTGTAGATGTTCGTACAACCCCAGTTTCTGCTGTAGCTCTTCACTGGTGTCTGTATTCTCCCTCTTAGGACGTTTCATGAGACAGATCCTCCCAAATCCAGTTAGCCACCAAGCTAGGTTGGTGTTGCCGATCTTTACCACAGACCGGACTTACTCACACCTATCCCAATCTATGTCTTTCTCAGCAGTGTTTCTTATCGGATCAAGCGTTAACTGGCTTGACTGTCGAAAGCCATACTACTTCACCTACTCGGGTTTCTACTATGCAGGTCCCCTGCTCATAAATCCTATCAAGATTTCTTCGTGTAATGTTATATTACACTTCCAATGTTCAAGTAACTTGGTACAACTTAATTTACAAGGTTACAACCCCAAAAACGGACAGGGTTTACCATAAGTTGAGTACAAAGGTCTGGGTAATTATTCAAATTCGTCGACAGTGGGATTTGAACCTCAGACCTCTTGCATGGTGGTCTGGCAACCTAACCACTACACTAAGATCGCCAGACCTTTCAAAACATATTATTAATATATACTAATACTACTTATTGATAGTATAGTAATTTTGCTTTGTTGTATATTAAGTCTATTGGCTATTTTGTTATCATTTTAGATTCTATATTTTTTGCTTGTTGTATTATATAGAGTAGAGAATTATAGAAAATTTACTATACTAGAGAAGAGATTACTTCTTCTTAGTTAATTCTATCTTCAGCTTCAAATTTACTTGTTAGTTCAAAGCTTGTAACAACTTTAATTCTTCATTTTTTATATAAACTTAAAATAAAGTTTATAATAATATCTAATAACTTAATTCTTGTTAGTATATTTTTTAATATTTCAAGGCTAACTGAGTTAAATACTTTATACATGTCTTAAAAGAGAATCTAAAGTTCATTATCTTTTTGTTTAGCATCTTCTAAAATATTATTTAGTATATATATTAGTACTGCAATACTGTTACTAGTTAATCTTGTATAGTTTGGCCTTTCTAATATACTATGCTTAGTTAGAACTTTGTCTAATCTATAAGTTAGCACTCTAACTACAGCTTTGCAGAAGGTTTTAAGTAAAATAATTAGATAAATATTGTCTAAGCTATAATCCCAGTTATCTTTTTTGGATATAGGATATAATTTGTTTAGTTTTTATTTTGCTAGTATTTTACTGTTTTGTAAGTATAGATTAACAAAATATCTGAAAACTTCTTGTGCTATAAGTTCTACTTTTTTAATTAGCAGGTAGCTTATACTTGATATATCTGATACTGACTTTGGTTTTGTTTTTTTGAGTACTTTTGTTTATTTATTTTTAGATATTTTATCATAAAGGTTTTTGTAAATTTCTTCATCAATTTTTTCTATAGAATTATAAATTTCTTTTTATTTACTAGATATATCTTTGTTTTGAGTAATTCTTCTTTTAAATTATTTTTTGAAGTAATTTCTAACTTCTTCTAAGACTTCATTCTTTTGATTTAGTAATATGATATCTGCTCCTTCTGCTTTTACTAAATGATCTATAATAATTTGTTTTAAAGATCTTTCTAAAAGACTACTTAGTATATGTTTTAGCTCATCTTGAATTGCTTCATAACAATTATCAATTGCTAAGTTAATTTTTTCTAGATCTTCTTTTTTTCTTTCTTGTTGCAACTTAGCATATACAATTTTCTAGCAGGTTTTGAGATTATTATATCTTTTTTTAGACTAGACTTCTTTATTACCTCTTCTATTTCAACTTTATATATACTACATAGATCTTAAAATAGTAGATTTAGATTATATTTGTTTTTGCTATTAATCTTTTAATCTAGTTCTTTTGTATATTGTTGACAAAAACTTCTAATTCTTTGTAAACTCTTTTTTGTCTTGTTATTTTTTTTGTATTGTTCTGTATTAGTACTTTCCAAAGTTGTCTTTTTTCTAAGTAGTAATATCTTTGTGTATTTGATTATGCTTATTGTGATTAAATTCTATAATTCATCTTTGTTTTGAAACTTTGTTTTCTAAGTACTAATTAGATCTTTTTTCCTTTCGATCTTCTTTTTTATATATTTTTTAAGTTGGTCTTGTAGTCTTTCTAGTTTGCTTCTGTTACTTTATCTAGTTAGAAATACTATTGTTTATTCTTTAATCTTTTGTTACAAGCTGCTATTCTAACTCTTTTTATAATCTCTGTTAGTACTTTTGCTGTAACTATTGAGTAGCCACTATTAGTGATATTATCTGCTTCTATAATATCATAATATAGCAATTTTTTTTCTAGTTTATTAGAAATTCAAATATAATTTATTCTCGATTTGACTATTTCATTAAATCTTGTGAATTTCTTGAATATAGAGTATAGTTTTCTAAAAGAATTAGTCATATTTGAATTCTCAAGCTATATTAGTAAAAGTAGTTTTTATGTTTATTTGAACTCTAATCTGTTTTGATCTAGGTCTTTGTTTCAAATATTATTAAAATTACTTATAACTATATATTTGATATTTTTTCTATTGCACTTATTACCTTTTCTAATTATATATTATTATATTACTTTTAGATTTGTTGATCTTTATATAGAATATATACTACTACTACTAGTATTTTTTGTTTTTTGAATATAAATAGTGTTTCTAGATAATATAAGTTGTTTCTCTTTACTCAGCTTAGATATTTTTCCTATTTTTTGTTAATTAGCAAGCCTACTTCTGAACCTTTTTTTTTGTTTTTTTTTGCATTAGTTCAAATTCCTAAATAACTATTTTGTTTGCTTATACTAAACCTGTTTTAACTTTCTGATATATTTGTCTTATTTAAATCTACTAAATTTATATTTTCTTTACTTGTCTAGTTCATGAGTATTTTAGTTTTACTAAGTTTTCTTTTATTCTATTAATATTATATATAGCTACTTTTAAAATATGAAAGTTTTCTATAGTTTCTCTGTGAATCTTAATCTCTCTTCTGCTATTCCTTGAATATTCTTCTTTTTCTTGATAATAGCTATTTTTGTTGTTATTTGTTGTTGATTCAACTGATGCAACTGTTAGAAATGATTAGGAGCTTTCTATTCTATACTATAAATTTTTTTTTCAAGTCTTCTTATGAATTGTAGTATATAGTCTATTAAATCTTAAAAGTACAAGTCTTAGTTCTAGACTTTTCTTAAGCTCCTAATTGAATAAGTGCTTATATCTCTTTTTTTTCTTTCTCATATTTTTTTTCTTTTTTCTTTAGAATATACACTTTTTGTTTGAGATTTTTGTTTTAATTTTTTATCATTTATATACTTATTTTCACTAAATTCTGTTTTATTAAAAAAGCTAGTTTTTTAGATGTTTTTAAAATCTTTACGTAAAGAATTTCTTCTAAATAGTATTTCTTTGTTATCTTCTATATAGACTTTTTTCTAAGCTAATTTTGTGTTATAGTTTAATATACTATATTTTCTAGCTTGTTCTAGATTTTTTTTGTTTTTAAAAGATACTATTATGAACTCTTTATTATTTCTATTTATATTTTTAAAAACATATACTACTTTTGCATTTATATATTTAATTTGTTTAAATAATAATACCTTTTGATAAAAAGCTAACTTTCATTTGCCAAATATAATAGTAGATTGATGCGGCACAGTCTAGAAGTTTTGGATAGCTTTTGTTTTTTTTAAAAAACTATTTTGTACAAATAATTAAAAAAAAGATGAAAAACTTTTATTATCGATTCCTGTGTATTAAGAGAAACATGAAGTGGATTAAAGAATGGTACTAGATGTGTAATTTCTTTTAGAATAGACAGTACTTCAGCTTCTAACTTCCTCATAATTGCTCTTCTTACAAATAACTACTCAGGAAAATCTGCTAGAAGAGGAATAACAAATTGTTGTAAATATTCTTTTGTCTCTGACAAACTTTAATTAAATAATTATATATTAAAATACATATATTAATATAAGTTTAAAAAAAAAACATTATATACTTAACTTTAAAAATATTTTTACAGCTACTACATAAATTTTGGTATTTTTTAAATTCAGTTCAATACAGTCTATTAATTTTGTTTGATTAAATTTATGATGATATTTTTGAGCTATATTAGCATCATATGAATGAATCGTTAATATTTTAATTACATCAGTTTCATATGATAAGTCAGATGCCTAACACCAATTTGATTTTTTGAAATTGTAACTATAGGCTAAATTAAATAAAAAATATTTTCGACAAACAGTTTTTAAAAGAAATACATCAATACCACAGGGATTATGCATAGGTAAACCATATCTAGAATAATAGAGAACAGGTGTACTTTCTATAGAATTAAATAATATAATCACCATAGTAACAATCTGTGAAGTAGAATTTGTTGTCAGAATATGAGTACCATAGAGATTATGATAATCATTGATGCATGCAATCAGGAGATTATTAAGCTAAAATTATGTTAATATTGTATAAATAATAATACGTATATATAAAAGTTATTAATAATATTTTAACTTATATTAGTTTGAATATATTTTCGCACACCAGTATAGTGTTCATCATTTATTTGATTTAATTTGTTAAAGGCCATTTGATAAGTAGTACATAATCCCATATTTGCTACTATATCTATACAGTGAGCTGAAGCTCCAGACTTAGTAAAAAATAACTCTATTGCAGCTTTTGCACTACTTACTTACTTATTTCGCAATCTAGCCATCTGATAATACAATACTATGACTTTTTGTTTTAAGTTCTCTTGTGTTTTTATATTTTTTTTTTGAGGATTCATAGCGTTATATAAAAGATTAAAAAATCCTTTAAGTTGGGGGTCTTTACGTTTAATTAATTCAATAAAATCTTCAGCCTTTAATTTTGGTTCATTTCCTTCATATTGATCCTAATAAAGAACTTTTGTCATTTGTGCTACTTGATCGTTAAAATGTTTAGAAAATTGTCTAATGTCTATTAATAGAATTTAATATTAATTAGTATATGTATCTAAAAAAAAAAAATCTCTTTATTTTAATAAAAACTATAGTATGTAATACCTGTATTGTCTTAAGAGCTTTCTATGCTTGAAATTTTTTCTAATAAATGTTTATTCAAAATGTTTGTATCCTCTAATTGTTCACATTGATTATCCCTTTCTGTAGATTTCAAATACCATTCTAATGCTTTCTTTTCATCTTTTGTAACACCTATACCTTCATCATAACAAAAACTGATATTCAACTATCTACTAGGATTTCTATCTTTAGCAAATCTCAAATACTATTCAAATGCTTTCTTTTTATTACGAGAAATGCTTATATCATTTCAATAACAATTTCCAACATGCAATTGCCTATCAGAATTTTCTCCTTTAGCTGATTTCAAATACTACTTGTATACCTTCTTATCATCTTTAGTTATGCCTATTCCCTTTATGTAGCAATTTCTGATGTTTAGTTGCCCATTAGGATTTTCACTTCTAGTAGACTTTAAGTACTATTCAAATATCTTAGTTTCATTTTTAGATATTCCTATGCTATTTATATAGCAATTTCTAACATTATATTGCCTATCAGAATTGCTGCCTTTAGCAGACTTTAAGTACCATTCGAATGCTTTCTTTTCGTCCTTAGGTATATTTGTACTATTTTGATAACTCTTTTCAAGATTACATTATTCAAAATTATTAATTTTTGAAACATACTTCCATCTTTTATTTGGTTTCAAGTACCTATCAAACACTATGAGATCAATGTAATGCTTATAGTATAGCTGATCATATAATCTAAGTTTTACTTTCAAATTTAGTGCAGCTGGACTTTGCATAGCTTTATACAAAAGTTCTGGTATTAATTTACGAAACCTTTCTTTGGGATTATCCTTACTACATACTGTACACGGTCCAGTATTTTTTCATGATCTACCTAATTGCATTGTTACTAGTAAAAGTTTTGGATCTTGAAATTAAAATTTTGGATCCTTGTAATTAAAAACTTATTGAATGCATATACAAAATATCAAATCAATATTATTGTTAGAAAAAAATTCTAGAAGCTTTAAGAAAGTGTTAACATTTTTAAGTAAAATATAAATAAATCAACTAATTAGCGTTAACTTTTATTTGATCATGTATAAATAATATTTTAAAAAAATTAACTAATCAATGGATTTTTAACTATACTTATCAAGTAGTAGAAGTTTTCAAAAAAAAAATATATGAAGACTTAAAGCTCTAATATCAGCACTCACTAACAAAAAAGATATAATTGAAGATGAAAAACCTAGTCAAGAAGTTAATATTAAAATTACAAGTAATCTAGAAAATATAATTATATAAAGATTAGTAGAAGATAAAAACATGCAAAATAATTTAATTAATTTAATCTATAAGCTAAAAGTGAAGAAAAATATAGAATTCTATACAGATAGTGTATTAACAGCAAATAAAGATTCTGAAAATATAAATAGGATAGAAATAGAATGAGTTTTTAAAAAAAGAAATAGAATAGATAATAGTATTAGCTTAAATGATAATATAGAAAACTGGCCCTTTTTAACTCATGCAGAACTAGGAGCTATTTAGTCTGCTATACTAGTAGTATCTATTAATTCTAAAATATCTATATATACAGATAGCAAATTAGCAATTGAAGCTATAGAAAAATATTAAAAAGATATCAAAATAAGAAGTTAGTTCAAAGCAAAAAACAGAAGTATCATAAGACAAATCATTGATTGTTACAAAATAAAATATTTAGAATTACTATTATACAAGATCAAAGGTCATAGTAAAATTCTAGAAAATAATATAGTAGATAAGCTAGCTAAATAAAGTATAACATCAAACAATACTCTCAAAGTTTCAAAAATATCTTCTGAAAATTTTATGTTCATTACTAAATAGAAAGACTAAATTATTAATAGCATATTATAGTCCTTTATAAATATTACAACTGTAATAAATTATAAAACAAAGTAGTTAGAACTAAGCAAGATAGCAGATATTATTACTCAAAACCAGAAAAATAATTCTAATACCATGCTAATTTGAAACAATATATAACAAGTACTTAAGACTTATTAAGAAAAAAAAGAAGTCAGCATGAAAAAGAGCAAAGAGCTTTCTTTTGTATAAAATACATAAACAATATCTTATCAACAAAAGACATATATTACTAATGAAATCCAAAGCTATACAAAAGTCAAAATTATATAGCCTGCAATAGAAATGATGAATTACTTTATTATATTGCAGAATATGAAATCTATCAAAAAATTTAGAACAATTTAGAGAAAAAGGCAATACAGCTAACAAAATTTGAGGCTTCAACAAAGTTAAATTTAGCAATTAGTGAAACTCTGCTAAGAGAAGCAATTTATGGCAAAGATATCAGTACTAAAATAAATTGCAGAAAAATACTTCTAAGGGGTTTTACTAATAATAAACAACAAAAAAAGATTCTTAAGATAATCTAATCTAGTAACAAAGTGAACAAGGTTCTAACTAGCTTTATTGAGTATTTCTGAGAATACTTTTATGAACAACTATAGAAATTCTGCTGTAAAATTATGATAGAATAAAAAAAGAAACAGAATATTATAGCAGTAACAAAAAAGAAAAAAATTAAAAAAAAGAAGAAACAAAACAAAGACAAAGAAAATACAAAACCTCTTAAACTATTAAAAGAAACAAAATCAGAAAAAGAATCAAGAATTTAAAAGGAAACCTCAAATAAAATTAACAGATAAGTAAAATTAGACAAGAAAGAAAATAGTTACATTTTAAAATTTAAATAGAAGATTTTGATATAGGCTAGTAGCAACCTCTCAATGATTAGAAGGTAAAAGTTTATATATATAAACTATAGTTGCTACAGCAGATCACACTTAGGTACCTAAAGATAGCTAAGTGAGCTTGAAATAATCACAAAGAGAATAGTTTAGTATAAATTTTATAATGAATTATCTTGTAGCTTATAGTAGCTTTTCCTTAATAAAATAATAGGAAAGATTACCTAAGTTTAAAAAAAAAACAAAAAACAAATCTATTTACTCAGATCTTTTCAAATTATATTATATCTAATATATTGTAGATATTGTAGAGCTAGTTAACCTTGAAGCAAACCTACTAGAGCAGCTCATATTTATTTTATAAGTTTACTTAGATTAAACTTTTGTAGTATTCATATGATATTAGTTATAATCTTTTATACTTTCACTAGTGTTTTGTATTCTTTAAACAGTTAGATCCTTTTAAATTCAGTTAGCTACCTAGCTAAATTGGTATTGTCAATTAGCAAATTAGACTTACTCATATTTTTGTATTTTGTTTTTTTCTATAAATTTCAGATTTTACTAGTATAACTATCAAAGATTATACTATCTTATAATTCAGAATTTCTATTATGCAGATCTCTAGCTTATAGATCCTATCAAAATTTATTTATATAATGTTATATCATACTTCTAAAATTCAATTAACTTGATATAAATTTTTTTATTTTTAATAAGCTATCTGCAGATTTTTATTAAATGTTATTTTTAAATTATATTTGTTAATGAAAATATAATTAGCTACATATATAACTTTAGTCATTATCTATTTAAAGGTTCTGTTATATAGGTTACTAACCAATTGCTATATCTAATATCTGCTTATAGATATTTTATTTAAATTCTCTAGTATTACTGTGAAACTCTATTTTTAATCTAATATTTATATCTACACTAATTTTGTGCTATCTCATTTTAAAGACCATCTAGACTAACTTGTACCTCAAATTGTCTTTATAGAACTAAGTTCTATTACAAGATACTCTAATAGTATTCTATTCTAGTGAAAGCTTGCAGATGACCTCAACTATACTGTACTATATTCTAATTAAGCTAGTATATATCCTTATCAGTATTTGTACAAATCCAGTTTTTTCTGTAGCTCTTTACCAGATTAGTCTAGTTCTTCTGAATATTTCACAAGATAGTTCTTCCAAATTCAGTTAGCTACTACATCAGCAAATTTTTTTAGATAAAATTTTTGAAAGAATTTTCAGATTAAAATATTTCAAAAGATTTATGATTGATATAAAAATTTTCAAAATAATTAATTTCGAAAATTTCTAAAAAATATTCTAAAGATTTGTGAAAAATCTTTTGAAATATTTCACAAAAAATTTTAAAATAATATGCAAATATCTAAAATAATGCAAAAAAAATTTTTATTGTAGAATTTTTTTTTTTTTTTTTTTTTTTTTTTTTATTGATACAACATGGCATCGGCCGAACTTTTTATTGGTATTGATAGTGAGTAAATGATTACATATTGTGAGAGTACAACTAGCTACACGTACAACTTTAGATTGTCTAATTTAAGTAGTCCGCCCGAAGGTTCTACACTAGCTGCCATACCTGAAATCTATTTGAAGATTACCTATTTAAACCCTCTAGCCCTATGACACTTACTCGTATTCTACCTTGTTTTACCAAGTTTGCCTAACCCTGTGCTACTTCTCCAGGAAGACACCCGAGCTGACATGTATCCACAAACTTTAAGATTCGAAGTCTAGACCCATCTCAGGTACCCTTTCCCCAACTTCCTAATCTATGGGTGCTGTGGTACCCAACTATGCTACACTATATCCCAATCTAGCTTGCATATACCCTTGTTCGATGTTCGCACAAACCCGGTTCCTACCGTAGTCCTCCACTAAGTTAGTTATCCGTGCCTCCAAATATCACACGAAGTAGATCCTCCCAAATCTGTTGCTTGGTGTTGCCTGCTTTGCTACAGGATGTCAACGAGACAGATCCTCCCAAATCCAGTTAGCCGCCAAGCCAGGTTGGTGTTGCCGTACAACCTTGTGTAACGGACTTACTCACACCTGTTTCGTCGATCCCTTTGTACTCAGGACTTACTCATATCTATTTCGCCGATCTTTCCATACGCAGATAACTTCCCTGATCAGACGTTAACCGGTATGACCGTTGAAATCTGTACTACTTCACCTAACTTGGGATTTCTGCCATGCAGGTCCCCTGCCCATAGATCCTATCAAGATTTATTCGTGTAATGTTACATCTCACCAAATGCCTCATCACACTTTCAATATCTGAATGATATTAGTACAACATAATTTACAAGGTTACAACTCCAGAAACGAACAGGGTTTACCGTAAGTTGGGTACAAAGATCCAGGTTCTTTTAGCCTTTTATTATAAACTGCAGTTCTAAACTTTTTTATTATTTTTGTTATTATATTTGTACTTACTATAGTATAGTTACTATTTGTAATTATATCTGATTTAGTTATTTAGCAGCTTATTAAACTTTGTTCTAGATTCTTTGAAATTTATATATAGTCAATTCTAAATTTGACTTAGTTATTAGATTTAATAAATTTCTTTTTATATAGGTATTGTTTTTTAAATATATCTACTATATCTGAATTACTATACTAGTTTAGAAGAAAAAGTTTTTGAGTTTGTTTAGAATCTTCTCTACTTTGGTCTAAATTTTATATCTTATGTTATTCAAGTCACCTAGTACTATAATTTTTATAGCTTTTTTTTGTTAATTATAGTTTCTTTTTATAACTTGTTGTATATTTTTTCTAGTCTTTTAGTTATTATATATATATATACTACTATTATTTGTACTTTTTGCTTTTTGAAGATAAAAAAAGTTTTTATATAATATATATTATTTTGTTTTACTTGGCTAAAATACTTTTTCTATTTCTTATTTATAATTAAACTAAGTTTAGAGCTTTTTTTATTTTTTTCTGCATCTATTCAGATTCTTATATAATCTTCTTGTCATTTATACTAAA